ATGTAGGATTTTCGATACAATGCTATAGGGGTACCTGTCATGAAATGTAGAATCGTGTTTTTGGCGAAATCTTCACTCGTCAGCCGCTTTAATCAGTTCGCGTCATGCTTTACAATTAGAACCTGTAAATTGCATGGAAATGAAATAAACAGTAGTGCAATATCTACCCTTATATACGTTACAGATTGTGACCGTTCCTTCTATGTCAGACATTCACATATATTACAGAGATTGTCAGAACGATTATCTCCTGAGAAAGAAGTAAACATGTTTTATTAAAAAGATAATTATTCAATAGATATAATTATATAGGATAAATGCTTTACTATCTTCAAGAGAAATTACGGGCCAAGTGATGTTTATCTAACAATTTCTTTTGTGATAAATATATGTCTAAGTCTGGAAACTTTCTCACCCTTTGTGAGTTACATACAACATGCACTTTTAATATGCTGTACACGATAGGGTTTGTGATCATATCGATTAGTAAGTATACACCCGAGAGAGTAAAGACGACACGATATTACACAAGTTTTATATATCAAATGAGAAACTGAGAAATGTCAATAACATTCCTGCTTGTGATGTATCTGACGGGAATCCACGACATGCAATAACACTGCCATTTCTTAAACTAATAGGTTATCCAAGTAGGAAACCGTATGTGAGATGACTTGATAGAACTCCAGACAGCCAGACACGGCCAACTTGAGGATGGTATAAAGTGGTTCTAGAAGAGTTTCAAGAACATCCGTGTAATTCTGATCAACTTTTGTTTATCGTCGTGTATAATGAAGTCTAGTACATCAAGTATCCACAAGCACGTCTGTATAGATATATTAAACATAGATCAGTTGTTCTTTCAATTTTGTTTACTTCATGGCGAGCTTTAGCTATAATAACATTTATCTTGTGTACAAGACTTGTGAAAATGTCCCACCCAACATTTTGTTCACTTGTAAATTAGTGACCTAAAAGCTTGTTTAGTTTGTATAGAAGTGTGCAGCAAATCATGTTTGCCGTGTGTCTCCGACACATCGTATTTACCGAGTGTACAAGTATCACACGTGTGTACACGTGTCCTACAAACTGGGTTTTCCATTTGTACACGTGACCTTTGTGTTGACCCTGTGTACAAGTATCACACCCAGCATATGTACAAGTTTTATGCACACCGTGTTTATCGTGTGTACAAGTGTCCTACACGCCCTAACTACCGCGTGTACAAGTGTCCTATACACATGTTTATCATGTGTAAAATGTCTCCTTCTTGTGTACTTTTTGCAGAATTTTCTTAGCATGTACAATGTATGTACAAGTGTCTTATGCCCCTAACAACCATTCCGAAAACTATCGTTTACCTTTCCATAATTAAACGCCTTAGCACATTTCTACTACTTTTGTCGGTGTCTGTTTCTAGACCGGTTTTTTTTTCAAATTTGTTAAATGGTTGTCTAAGCAACCTGTCGATGTGTCGAACTAAACATCTCTTCAAGTACCTAGTGTATACAAGTGTACGCCAATCGTCACATTTACTCAATGTACTGATGTATGTGCAACACTAGCCACAAATGTATCCCTTTAATGAGTGATGACCTTGTTTACAGGTCCATTTCTGTTTATCAGGATGTGTGCAGAGGCTGAAGCCGAATCTGGACTAAGGGACCTACTTCGTCAGTATGATATCCGATTACATCCGTTGCCTGCCCTTAAGGTACCACCTAGTTTCAGCAGGGCAAGCGTTCTTGTTCCGTTGTTTTGGGAAAATGGCGAGTGGCACGTCTTGCTTACTATTCGATCAGAAAAACTACGTACTCATTCAGGTGCAGTATCCTTTCCAGGTGGGAAACAAGACCAAAAGGATGAGAACGAGGTCGCGACAGCTCTAAGGGAATCCGAAGAAGAAATCGGTCTAAGTCCGACCGATGTGAAAGTTGTGAGTGTACTTCCTCCTGCTTTAGTTCGACCCAATAACATAGTGACCCCAGTTGTAGCTGTTATTCCGAAGGACTTTGTTCCGAAAACAAATACCGAGGAAGTTCGAAAAGTGTTTCGTCTCCCGATTTCGAGGTTTCTTAAGGAGGATTATACGATGAGAAAGTTCAAAACCTTAGGAATTGTCGTGATATCCTACTACTTTTCAGATGTCGTTGACGGAGAAACCATACAGACGTGGGGCTTCACGGCTCAGATGGTCATGAGGATTGCAATGGTTGTTTTTGGTTCTGACCAGAAGCGTGAGGTCACTGGATATGGCGCTATCACTAAGGATACGGCCTTGGCCTCTCTTTCTGACATACAACCCCTTCAACAGGTTCTGGATAAAGTTAACCTCTCCAAACTTTGATATCGCGTCTTGTGTAATTTCATAATGTATTTTTGTTTTTTTTAACGCCTTCGATGTATATACATATCAATTTTCCAGTGTATGCAGTGCAGTCATTTATAATCTAGATGTAAGCTATGCACATGTGGAGTACACTATATATAGAAGTAATAAATAAAGATTAACCAACTTTACATTTGACGAGGCAATGTAATTGATAGTATTTAGTCATTACTTAGATATGTCAGTCAGACTTTCTACTGGGCTTGTATTACCTTAAGCAAATCATTTATACTTGATACGGGTAAATTCCGTCTATGACCAACAGATTTCTGGAGTATTTTTGGATATCATTATTCAGATGCCGACCATGTCTGCGGTCGATTTAATGAAATGACAAGACAGAATTAATCAAATGTGATCATGTAACCAGGACCGCATTCTAGAATGGTCAATATGGTGATGTAACCAGGATTTAATACTAGATTGTGGTAAATTTGATCATGTGACCAGGATCGCTTTCTAGACTGATTAATTTGATCATGTGACCATAATCGCTTTCTTGACTGAGTTGATCATGTGACTAGAATCGCTTTCTAGACTGGTTAATTTGATCATGTGACCAGGATCGCTTTCTAGGCTATGATTAATTTGATCATGTGACCATGATCGTTTACTCGCCTTTAATTGATTTGATAGTATGACCTTTGAATAATAGGTGACGTGACCCGGACCAGTGTGTAGCCTTTGGTTGATAAGTGACCTGACCTGGACCGGTGTCTAACCTTTGGTTGAAAAGTGACGTGACCGGGACAGGTGTCTAGCCATTAGATTCTGGGCCCTCGATATGACCAGGATGCTGTTTTTTTTAACCATGGATAATGTGCTGATTCCATTAGTACCGTTTCTGATCCTTTGTCAGCCTGTTGAGATGTCGAGGGTTGATTTCTGCATTGTTGTCTTGCGGTTTAACCATGGTGTTCCAAAAAAAATATCAGGAATTTTCCAGCTTAAAACTTGACGATGGACTTTTAATCTTACAGTGATTGTCCTAATCTTGTATCAGATATCCAATTACGAATACGAAATTGTGTAAGAGTGCTTAAGATATTCATGATGTATATGTAATCAAGATGGTGGTGTATTTATCAAAGGTTTGTATTTAAGATACTTCAAATATTATCAAAATAAAAAATGCAAATGTAATTTACAACATATTGCAGATTCCAGAGCTGTTTATACTGCGAGGGTAATTTAACTGACAGGCACGATAAAGCCGGGTACAGCTGGAAACCGTTGCATTGCGCAATCGATGTTTTTCGGAGTGAAAGACCTTGCGTTCCCCTCCTGTTGAAAGAGATCGGCATGTAGTTCACACGTCGCTTTAGAAAGTGATGATTGATTGCCCTTAAAAACCTCGAGTGATATCTTTGTTTCATCGGAAATGTCACATCCTTCAAGTTGTTATGTAATCAAAAAAGAATATTGCCGGGATGTTGTTTACCGTGTGGGAAATGTACATCGGAGATACATTTCATTAAATCACGATGAAGATAAAGGAGATCACCTGTCAATTTGACACAACACACATTCTCTTAAATCTCACAACAATACCAGACCGTAGATTTTTGTGGTCGTTACAGTCATACATATATATATCGGTACATTTCATCATGAAAACGTGCTCAACGCTTTAAATTATTCATTTAGTTATTTTGTGTGTAAACAGCAATTACGATAGAATTTATATCAATCACGCAATTACGGACCGACATGCACTCTCCACACCACAATTAGGACCCTTTATCACCCGCAATCCCTTTACCTCTTTACCTCCTAACATCAGCCTATTTTTGACGTTTTAATTGAAACGACTCTGCAGTTATCAGCGTGTCCTGTGTTGCTATCGTTTTTAGGATGTTCCTGAAGGGTCTATCTGTTCTTGAAATGATTGAGTAAGATAAAAGCAATTCTATGTTATTCGAAGTTAATTGTCAGGCACCACACAATAAATGAGGAAGAAAAAGCAAACCCGCTCAACTACAGATTGGAAAGTTCTGTCAGAGCGATGAAACCTGTAACTGATACAGAAATATAAAACGACACGCATGTTACAATGGTGGACATTTTATTGTTTAACATTATACCAGTATACAGATTTAGACGTCAAAATATTCAGGAAAGAAAGACAATACATGTCGCGAATATTTGAATGAATCTTGGAAGTGAACTATCACAGTGTGATTTTATATGTAATTTCCTGGATTTTAATTGAAGGCATCTGACGAACATTCCCAGAAATATAGGTCGATGATACAGAATATATCATATAAAAGTTAACACGCTGGGATTTTAAAGCAGTATCAGTGATTGTATGTATATGTACATGATGAAAATTCGCTTCAATATAGACGGCACAAAAGGGTTAGGAAAATGAAAAGACAAGAAACTAGACATTCGTTAAAGACCATGATACAGAGGGATTTTTGATAAGTTTCTCGTCAAGTTTCATTCATCAATCCATTTTCAATATTTCAGGAACAATCTAAGCAAAAATGTTCTGGCCATAATAAAAAAACACTGAAGTGACATGTAGACCATACGTCTCTGGAGTAAAGCAGATTTTCGTGTATGGAAACTTTGTGTTCTCGACCTTATTTTTTTGTTGTTTCAGTCACATGGCTGGAAACGGGAGGTCTCTGGAGAACATTCTCCGTCCATTCGACACGAGGATCCACCCATTGCCGATAAGAGTTCCATCACATATCGTCAGGGCGAGCGTTCTAATCCCCCTCTTCTGGAAAAATGATGAATGGCACGTGCTTCTAACAGTTCGTGCCTCAGGACTCAGAACACACTCGGGCCTTGTGGCATTTCCTGGGGGCAAGCAGGACGATGCCGACGAAAATGAAATCACAACAGCTCTTCGAGAATCGAAGGAGGAAATTGGGTTAAATCCAGAGGATGTCCAAGTATTGGCTGTTTTGCCGCCATCTTTGGCTGGGGAAAACATGCTGGTAACTCCAGTGGCTTCCATTATTCCGAACGACTTTGTACCCAAGATCAATGTGGAAGAAGTTCGGAAGGTTTTTGATTTACCGCTATCGCGCTTCATGAGAGAAGATTACACGATGACTAAGACTAAATATCAGGGCGGATACATTTGTATTTATCATTTTATAGACTATATTGACGAGGAATCTATTAAGACTTGGGGCTACACAGCTACCGTAGCCATGAGGGTCGCCATGGTGATATTGGCCTCTGATGTCAGACGTGAATTGAAGGATGGGTTTTTCATCACAAAGGAAAATTCTCTGTCCTCTCTGTCCCAGTCGGACACATTAAAACGACTTACTATGATGAAGGACACACCCAATAAACTGTAAAGTGTGTGCCTAGGACACTATCAATAACATTGAATGCCTCTGTCTGCCGATGTTACCACAAAGACGTATATACTGATAATCTGAAGAGACAGTATTTTGCAGTGGGAATCTTCTGACAAATATTATGCATTGTGTTAACTTTTTAAGTCGAAGGCCAATTTGTTTTTTCCTTACATAATCAGATGAACAGTACATCGGAGTCGCTTGAGTGTTTGACATCAGTATTTTCATTGAAGTGGATTGTCAAGCGTCACATTAACAAATATATAAATGGCGGCATGAAAAAAAATCACCTGAATTACATGCTCTACACGTAACCTGATTTGTTTGATATAATGAACATGCAACACAAATAAACGTGTAGAATGGCATTTAAATGATATTATTTTAATACTCCTCCATGTTTTTACTGCCAAGGGATGTTTTATAGTGCCCATTATTGTTTGCACGTACAATGAATTTAATAAATCAGCCAAAAATAGTGAAATCCATTTTATAGGATTGAAACGCATTCCTGTCACGAAAAGTTTGAATGAATCTCGATTTATCTTGTCATGAAAATTACAGTGCGATGTTATTTATTTCTCTTTCATATAAGCGGTTCCCTCATTACATGTACCGTCGATATAATGCTTATAGGACGATGATCAGCCCGGCATAGCTATAGAACGGATTCGTAGGATTAATGTCCTTGGAGAATATCGACTTCAACGTCCAATGACTAAAGACTAATAAAGGATGTACAAGGTTCTGTACACACTATAATCGTGACTTTAACTCGCAGGAGTAATGTATTGAATGGCTGACGCATTGATAAAAGAAACATAAAGGATTAATGACTCTAAGTGATGTTATGCAAAATATAAAACCCGCTAGTTCATTTTGAAAAATAACTCGACATTTTTTGTGTGTTTAATCTGTTGCGACAATATTGTCTCAGTGAACTCGGCCCCTATCACCCACCGCCACAAATCAATCGCACTCCTCCCATCCAACTCCATCCTCCTCCTCGTTCTCCTCCTCCTCCTCTCCTCGTTCTCCTGTCATCTCCTCGTACTCCACCTCTCCTCGTTCTCCTGTCATCTCCTCGTACTCCTCCTCTCCTCGTTCTCCTCTCCTCGTTCTTCTGTCATCTCCTCGTACTCCACCTCTCCTCGTTCTCCTGTCATCTCCTCGTTCTCCTCTCCTCGTTCTCCTGTCATCTCCTCGTACTCCTCCTCTCCTCGTTCTCCTCCTCTCCTCGTTCTCCTGTCATCTCCTCGTACTCCTCCTCTCCTCGTTCTCCTGTCATTTCGTTCTCCTGTCATCTCCTCGTACTCCTCCTCTCCTCGTTCTCCTCCTCCTCCTCCAGATTTAAACTCTGCCCGAGATAACGTCTGTGTATAGGAAAGGTTATCGTCGACGGTTCAAATTTTCGAGATATCACCAAATGTTTTAAGCAAAAGAAATTCAGTTTTCATAGAAATTAGGTAGCAGACAAATAGATTTTACATGGGTCTGTTCCCTTTACTCATTCCGAGTGTAAAAGTTTCACTTATGGTTAGGACGAGGCCTATGTTTAATTATTTTTCTCGTATACTTCAAGATAATAACAATAACAATTGCAAGTTGTTACAAAACCTTTTCATCGCGGTATAATCGATATTAAATGAAAAGTACGTCGAAATTGATGACGTTATCAATTTGCGACATGGTTACGAGACGTAAAATGATGACGCTACACTAATGTGAGTAGAATCATAGCGCGTACCAGCTGTCTTTCAATACCCTGTGTTAGATTTCTCTGATCTTGGGCTAGTACAATAACATTTTGTACACTCTCTTACTCTTGACAGGAAGATCCATGTTTTTTCCTGGTGTGAGATATTCTTGTCTCACCCATGGGATGAGACAAACTAAATATGCTCTTTGCACGTTCTGAAAACAATTTAAGTAACGTTTAAGACGTAGCCTGGGAGTGGAACTACTTTTACAAAGTCACACAAACATTAGTTCGTCTGCTTCCGAACTCATGTGTTATCATCAAAATTATCATATGAAATTCATCTTAATCCATAATTCATTATTAAAATATATATAAAATATCAGGAGCAGTATTTTATTTGACGTTTTAGTGGCATGTACGCTAGAACTATATTGTATGATAGAAGATGTGTAAAGCCTACTAACTATGCTTTAACGAATGACTTGTTGTTTCAGTCACGTGGTTGGAAATGGAAGATCTTTGGAGAACATTCTCCGTCCATTCGACACGAGGATCCATCCACTGCCGGTTAAAATTCCATCACATATCGTCAGGGCAAGCGTGTTAATACCCCTCTTCTGGAAAAATGATGAATGGCATATACTGTTGACAATGCGGGCATCTAAACTGAGGACACACTCGGGACATGTGGCGTTCCCTGGAGGAAAACTGGACAGGGCCGACAAAAACGAAACCACTGCAGCACTTCGAGAAGCACAAGAGGAAGTAGGTTTAAATCCAAAGGATGTCCGAGTGTTGGCTGTTTTGCCGCCATCTTTCGTATCGGCGAAAATGCTGGTAACTCCAGTGGCTTCTGTTATTCCGAACGACTTTGTACCACGGGTTAATAAGGATGAAGTTCGGAAGGTTTTTGATCTACCGCTATCCCGCTTCCTTAAAGATGATTATGTGATGACGAAGGTTGAACGCCCGGGCGGGAAACTGTGCATGTATAGTTTCACGGACAAGATTGACGGTGAAACTGTGAAAACGTGGGGTTACACAACATCAGTAGCCATGATGGTCGCCATGGTAATATTGAATTCTGACATCAAACGTGAATTTAAGGAAGGCATTTTTATTAACAGGGAAAACGCCCTTTCTTCTCATCATTCCCAGTTCTCGAAAACACAAGTAATAACACATTAGAGTGAACAACGGGAAAAACTATTTATTTACACTTTAAAATAAAGGTAATTATACTCAGGTAAAATTATAAGCTGATGATGATTATGACTCGCAATTGTATGCTTCATTCTGATGGGCTCAGCTCGATATCACATTAGCATGGAAATGTACTCAAATGTAGTACAAAACTCCAGTATTACCTAATAGAAAACACCTGAAGATATATCGGTATGAGTGTGTTATCGAAAATAGCATCATAGTAAAAAGTTTCGGTACGTATATAGCACATATCATAAGGACGTTTACTAGAAAATAGCACATGATGTGTAGATCTACCCTTAAAATAACACTACCGGAGTTTATTTTTTTATATCCCGGTAATTCCATTCAAAAATAACTTTTGGAGTTACGTGTACTTCCTCAAGTAGATATTTCTTCTTCTTAGTGTAGCCTGTCGTTATCTTTAGTGAGCTATAATTTCAGAAATCAAAATAACTTCTCTTCATAGAAATGTGGTTATCAAATGATAGAACGTTCTTTGTGTCAGGTTTATGAATTTCTGTATCGACATCAGGAGAGGAAAAAGGTTGTATGATTACACGTGTTATAGGCTCGTACGGAATTTTTTTATGTCGTGTATGAAATAAAACTGTATTACTTCATTGAATATATGCTTAAACAGTTATAAATCGTGTTTTAAACGGTATAGGCAAATCGTTTTAGCGAAAGTTGACTGGTAAGTGAAGAACATTCGCGCATGTGCATTGTACCGTGATTTTTCTCTGAAATGGACAAAAAAGAACCCAAAAGGATACATTTACAATAAACAAAAAATTTCCCGTCCATAACTCTAAGTACCTCTCTTCATAATTACAAAGTTGCAGCGTCTTCGGTTCTTATTCCTGCGCTACAACAGATGTGCATGACAGCGATTATATATATATATATGTGTGTGTGTGTGTGTGTGTGTGTGCGTGCGTGCGTGCGTGCGTGTGTGTGTTTTCGTTTTTTCTTTTTAATCGTATTTCGTATATGATAATGTCTTGTCAGTTGGTAAAGTTTTTGGTAATATTGACGCCAATTCACTGTCAGAATTACACAAAAGAATATGAAATGTAAGATAAAGGGTTATCAGAAAAACAGTCTGCTTATGTCATTAGAAAAATATTTCTGTTTACAAATGATTGTCAAAGATTACACATTTCTATAGGACATATATAAACTGAGGCAATCTCAAGGAAAAATGAACCCAACACAAACCGTCTGAAATATTTTGATTTTAACTCGTGTCATGTTTAGTTCTCTATATACCGATAGTTGTAATAACCGCCAAGAGATGACACTCCTTAAGGCTTTTGTAAAGATATGTACTTCTGTAAATTGAACAAAAGACGCACAAATGTATAGCACGTTTCAATACAAATTTAAGAGACGGTCAAGTTAAATAATATACTAAATAGAATGCCTTTTCACCTGCGTCCTACGTAGAGAAATATGTAGTATTGTTCTATTCTCGTATTATGGTCTCTGATTGACGTCAATACTAGTATATATATATATCTGTATACATGTCACAGAAGGCGGGGAATTTATTAATTTGGCCGTTGACTATGAAAGCTCGGCGTGTGTATTGGAAGTCTAGTTAATGAAACATAATGTCGGCAGTATAGAAACTAACGGTTCTTCTATGTCGAGAATCTTCTATGTTAAATATCTATAAAGAAAGATGTCTTCTGAACGTCTTGTATTTATGGAAACTTGAATTGACAATATTTTACGGATATGGTATAAATCACATCCCTGTTATATTATTTTATATATTCATTGACTAGATATGATGTGAAAACAAAAGAGAAAGCAAGCTTGCAAATAAAATTATCAAAACAGTGTTGAAATATTAATTAAAGAAAGATATTAAGGGGTCGGTATTATAGCAAGATATCCTCGGAGTGCAACCTACCGTGCATATCTAGGTAAATTCAAATAAATATAACGCCCCCGAAATAAGAACCGTGTCAGTTAAAACGAAACCACCAAGAATACGGTTTCGAGGTCGTTATCCATTAATCATACCAATTTGCAATGAAGTGTCTTTGGGATATTAGTCTAAAATGTTTGTATACATGTTAGAAGTGAGTTCTCTAAGAGGACTGGTATTGACCTAAAACGGGAGATTAGTGTTTATGTTTAAGGAATCGTTAGACTAAAGGAGTTCAGCGTTAAAGACATGGACGGCAACTCTCTCATCCGTGACGACCTAAGACATAGTCTAGAAAGAATAAAACGTCTTCACACGCACAGATGAAGTGTTTTTGGTCTGATTTGACACGGAACATTAAGAAAGTGATTTATGTTATGTAAATAATTAATTAATGATATGTTGCCAGTTTCATTGGGAGATGTCTGCATTGTTCTCTAATTCACTGAGACATACAGTTTCATTCCAACATCTTTTCTCTTTCCACCAGACCGATTGTGTTCAAACATTTTTCTCGCGGTCCTGACCTGGGCCAACCTAAAACCAGAGAAATTGGCCAGTTCTCTCAGAGTTTCCTTTCACTACTTGATTTATGAAGTCAGTCGTCATTTAAATAATACACTTTTAAAAGTTTATTCGAAATTCAAGACGAATACCAGTTAGACTAATTTTAACCAGATATCGTTCCAAACTTCACGTCTCTCTTGCCAAGTTCTCTTGGTTTGAAAGCCATGCTCTTACAATTATCGTAAGGGGCTTTGTACACTTTACATAAAAAAACTCTTGGAGATTTTGGAATATTTATTGAAGATAAAACCGTGTCAGCTGTCATGTGCTATTGTTTTTGTTGTCAAAAGTCTGTTCTGGCAAGACACATATTGATTTTGCCTTGTTTTTGAACACTGTTATATATGATCTTTTTGAACGTGTTATATTAGTCGAGTCACGGGACTTACTACAATACACACCACTAACATACGGCAAACAATCAATTCGGTTAACACGGATACACAATAGGTTTTTCCGTGTACTTTAATAAATAATTACCCTTTTTGTTATGTATCGAATTCGAGCTGTTGATTGCTGTGACCTGCAAAAAATACGACCTAGTAACTTTGTTATACGGGTAACATCCTGTTCACTATGCCTTTGTCACGGACGAGTGAAACTGAGCGTCATGGTCTGTTAATTCCGCAATATTGTTAGGTAAACAAATTCCTTGAAATCAACACAGAAATTAAAAAAGGTGTGGCATGCATTTAGGTAAATGGGATTATCAATCGTGCTGCCATCGAAAGCAATTGATTGAAAGAGGCGTTATTATATATGCACCTGTTTGAGTTGGAAATCCCCAGTAATTTTAGTGGCTTGTCTTTGTTCGCTTGAACGCTCTTCTGTGTTGACGAGTCGGTTGTCGGAATTGAAGGGAATTTCCTATGTTTACACATTCGTATCCTAGTAATGCCTTAATAATGTACCGTAAATCACCTATTGACGAACATATGGACACCTAGTCAGACAGATTATCTGTTCGGAAACTCTACAGTTGACGTTGTGAACCTACCAGAAAGTAAACTCTCGCGAGATTGGCAGAAATAGTTGGTTTACAAGCACAAGTCCAGAGAGATTTCGTAGAATTAGCGGCCATTGTAAATATGCGAGAAAGTAAAGATTTTGCAACATAAGTGGAATTACTTAAGTTTACAATTATTACGCTGTTGTAAAACTATTCGAAACATTGCATGAAAGTCATTTTATGCACTGGTTGCTAAAATTTGGCGTTTTAAAACTAGGGATATATCGACCGAGACCAAGACAAAAATGAAATCGCGGATATATAGTCAGTTGTTGTCTCCCTTTCATATTCGTTTCCCTAATGATGTATTTGTACTATATATTCCTTATATCCATCAAGAATCCAAATTTAGATTGACCTTTTCCCATTCAATTTAACAAAAATAATAATAAATAAATAAATGAAATGGTTTATGTCAATTGATACGAGCCTGGAGTTAACCCAAGTACTTTGAGAACAAAAATGTCTAGAAGGTAAGATTCCATTTCATGACCAATCGGGGACTCGAACGGCACTCAACTTTGTGAAATGTGAGTGAAAACTACCCTTTTCTGTCCTCAGTGCCTTTTGTATTCCGATAATATGATACATCTTTGTTACATTAAATAGAAAGGCGGATCATTTTCTTTTCAATCCGAAGATGAGTTCGGCAACATTTTGTGTGCACTTCACATTTTACGATTTCACCGGCTTCACCTTGATCAAAGTTAAAAGTCTATTCATTTCACGCAGGCTCATATATGTACTACAAGAGGCCATCTACAATACAGAATGGTATAACGCTAGAACATTATATATCAGTATAGGAACTTAATACATTATAGATAATACATAAAAGCAAAACGGAGTGTGTTTTATATTCTCGCAGTACTGGCGGACCCTTTCCCAGTTTGAATTTGGTTTTGCCAATAAATTAATTGATGTTTACTTTAACATAAATATGGCTCAAAATCTTTTTTTCTTTTTTTTTTCGAAGTATGATGTGTGTGTGTAAAAGTCTTCGTTTGTTACAAAACTGTCAACTGGGTGGTCTATGATTAATCAGTTATGCTTCATGTTTTTTTGGGTTTTTGTTTACGACACAGCACGCAATTGTGCCGCTGTCATAGTTCTATACCTTGAATTATGCACGTCGTCAGAACAGCTGACGTTCACCAGTGAGACAACGCCGAGCGATAGAATGAGTCAATGAGGCAGAAAGCCTGTTAATAATAGTCCTACCAACCTTCAACCATCCAGGTATATAATTCTAACGATATGACAGTTTCTTCTCTCCAAACCACAATGTTCTTGTCACAAAAACGCTTGTACTATTATCTTCCATTGGATGGAGTCCCCGATGGAACGTTTTATATTTGCTCGCTGGTTTGCCTCATTTTCTTGGCCAGTACTGACCCTAGGTCATTTGTCCGGTTCGGAAGACATGTGCCATAATTCCACGGAGGTTAATACAAGCCTTGAAAATTC